TTTGTTTATTTGACCTTCAGACAGAGGAACTTTTAAATTATAAAAAGCATCTAACATACGCAGATACAAAAAGCAGCATTTTTAAATGTGTTTGGGTAAATGCACTTCCTCCTCTTTGGACTCAGGTTAGCTCACTGAATCTGGTGCTTTTGTTGTCTGGGAATAGGTGTTGTGAAATGCCTTCTATGACTTTATAAATGTATAAGGAAAATTTACACATGTTTTGATTTGGAGTATATTCCAATCCATCATTCCCTGACGCAGGTCAACCACATAAAAAGTCAAATGCAAAGTCAAAACCAAAGAGTCAAAGAAGAGTTCAAGAAAACAGTGATAGCATAACAATGGAAAACTTTCTCTTGCGCTTAACAGCATTAAATTAGTAATGCTTAAACAACCCATGGAGGTTTTATAGACACATCTGGAGGTTTCTTCTAATGTACATATAAATAGAACCAAGGAAGCTTTTAATATTACCTTATCGTTCTGTGGTCGTATAGATTTAATGAACAAAATTAAATGTGAATCGCCAATCTACATACACCCCATCCTTTATTTCTAGATAAAACTATTCTTTTTTTTTTTTTAAGTTCTTGTAAGTGTCCATATTTCCTAGGCTCATTAAGGAAATCATCTCTAGACTTGTGGATGTTGTTGCTCTTCTTCTGGTACAGGAAACTCCACCACATGTGATTCTGGCATTCATCATCTAGTCAAGTTCTTCACATATTCTTCAAATCAGCGAAATCAGATATTCTCAACATTTTCTTGGTCAATCAAATAAGGTGTGGAATGAGTAGATTCTATGGAAATCTGGTTTTTCTTCATCACACTGGATTTTTACATGCCATTTGGATTAAGATGAGAAGATGGGGACGAAGAGGGGTTTATTTGGCCTGAGTCTCAACAGTAGACATGTAGAAGGGAGAATGAGACCCTAAGGAGACAGGCTGTGTGCTGACCTCCAGTTCCCTTGGTGGTGGTGGTGGTGGTGGGTGACTGTGTGGCAACAAAGGTATACTACTGGGAGGAATTACTTGATTGTGGCATGGCAATTGTGTTACTTAAATAAATCTGTGTGGGAAGGAGCAGTACGAGTCACAGCAGCCCCTGTCCAAGTCTGGCCACCATCGCTCTGCCCATGCCCACTCCATCGATGCACAGCATGTGTCTCTTGGTGCTGGGGGTGCAAAGAATTGCAGCTAGGAGCAGGCAAAGCAAGGTGGGCCATCCTTGCCTTTTAAGAAATACTCTGGTTGTATTTACTATTATGTTATTTTGGCAGTGCAGAGGATATTCTATGCTCTTCTCCAGCACCCCATTTCAAAAGCATCAATTCTTCTTCTGCCATCTTTAGTTATCATCTTTCTGATGCACGGTAAGCAAATGGAAACACCATGACTTACATCTTAGGTCTTTAAGCTGTTATCTTTGCTCTTATGCACATTACAAAAGTCCTTGACTGCAGATTTCCCCAATGTGACATACTTTTTGATTTCTTGATTGCTGTTGCCATGAGTGTTGATTGTGGATCCAAGTATAATTATAATTAAGTAATCAACAACTTATTTTTTTCCATCTATCATGATGTTGTTTATTAGTACAGTGATGAGGATTTTCAGGTTTTTTATGTTAAAGAACCCACAGTGAAGGCTATAATCTTTGATCTTCTGTAGCAAGTACTCCGAGTCTTCTTCACTTTCTGCAAGCAAGGTTGTGTCATCTGCATAATGCAGGTTGTCGATGAGCACACCACTTATTGTGCATCGGAACATTAGCATTATAATACGCTTGGTTTTTGATTGGGATTTGATGCTGCTTAACTAAAATCAGGCTCATTTGGAGAATGAAAACTTATATCTCCCTGAATGTGTCAATTTGAAATTTCATTAGGCGTTTGGGGTTGCTATTTAATGCGAACTTTTTCAAATCATCATAAAGAGAGCAGTGTAATAAATACTCATACACTCAAGACTTAGACTTAGCTGTTGTTATGTGCTGACCCGATGTACAGCAGCTCTGAAGCCTGCCCTGTCCTCAGCCAGTGTCACTATTTTTGACACACCAATCCCTATTGCCCCAGTCACTGTATCAAGACATCCCATCCGGGGTCTTCCTCTCCTGGGCTGTCCCTCCACCCTTTCAAGCATGTCTTTGTCCAAGGACTAGTCCTTCCTGGCCATGTGGTCAAAGTATGTGAGATGAAGCTTCAAAATCCTAGCCTCCAAAGAGAAACTTGGTTTCACCCTCTCCAAGACAGACCTAGTTGGTTTTTTGGCAATCCATGGTATGTTCAAAAGTCTTCTCCAGCACCACAACTCAAAGGCATCAATTCTTCTTCTGTCATCCTTAGTCATTGTCCAGCTCTCTGATGCATTGTAAGTAATTGCAAACATCATGGCCTTGATCAGGCACACCGTAGTCTCTAGACTGACATCGTTGCTTTTCAGCCCTCTGGAGAGGTCCCTGACAACAGATTTCTCCCAATGCAATTCATCATTTGATTTCCTGACTGCTGGAGTTAAAAGTGTTGATTGTGGAGCTGAACAAACTGTAATTGTTAACAACTTCAATTTCTTCTCCATCTATCATGGTACTGCTAACTGTTCCAGTGGTGAGTATCTTTGTCTTCTTAATGTTAAGCTTCAATATATATTGAAGACTACAGTCCTTAAGCTTCTGCAGCAAGTGCTTCAGGTCTTCTTCAGTTTCAGCAAGCAAGGTTGTATCATCTGCATAATGTAGATTGTTGGTACGTCTACCTCCAATCCTAATGCCACATTTCTCCTCATAAAGCCCTGCTTCCTGAATGATCTGTTCTACATATAGATTGAAAAGGTATGGAAACAGGATGCATTCAGGATGCACTCCTTTCCTGATTTTGAAATATGCAGTATTTCCCTGCTCTGTTCTGAGGACTACTTCCTGGTCCAAGTATAGGTTTTGCACAAACACAATTAAGTACCCTGGGATTCCCATTTTCCTCAAGGTTAGTCACAACTTGTTGTGATCCACACAGTCAAATGTCTTAGCATAGTCAATGAAACACACATAGCCACTCCTCTGGTTCTCTTTGCTTTCTGCCAACAACCATCTGACATTGGCAATGTCTCTAGTGCCATGACCTCTTCTAAACCCAGCTTGTATTTCTGGTAGTTTCTGTCAATGTACTGTTTCAGTAGTTTCTGGATGATCTTTAGTAGGATTTTGCTAGTGTGTGACATCAGTGATTGTTCGGTTCTTCAGTAATTTCCACACTCTGTCAGTTGACCAAGTAGTTGTCCTCCAGATTTCTTGGCACAACCGGGTGAGCACAGGCAGGGCACCATCTGTTTGTTGAAATATGTCAATCAGTATTCCATTAATTCCTGGGGCTTTATTTTTTGCCAAGTACTTCAGAACAGCCTGCATTTCCTCCATCACCATTGCCTCTTGATCATATGTTGTTTCTTGAAATTCTTCAATAGACTCAGTGGTGAGCACTATTTTGCCCACAATCCCCTTGTCAGTCAAGCCTGTCTTGCTGGAATGTTAGAAGCTCTGCCACTGATATTTCTCACAAACAGTGTCAAACATAGCAGGTAGGACTCAAGGGAGAAATCACCCTCTGAGAGTCTGTAGGTCCCTTAAGGGAATGGCCTAGATTTCTTGTCTTAGTCCAGTTGTTAGAAGGGATTGCATTGTGTTTGGTGAAGGAGAGGGCAGTGAGGGTGAGGGAGGCCTTCTGTGGTGTACAGCCATGAGGGCCACTGCAGTGAGGCACAGGGGCTGAGGAGCATGCTGTCTGTTGCACCATGAACTGGATCACCTCCACAGCAGCTATGGTCTGTAATATTCCAGTATTGGGAAGTATCTTTGGTTACAGACCTTATAAAGTGTCATTCCTGAGTGTCTCAGAATGCACCTCTGAAAAATAAGTATAGTTCCCCATGAGACACAGTCAGTATTCCACCTAAGAAACCCACCTCAGGCCTACGTGCCATCAATTGCCACTTGGCCTCTGAAGGTGGAGAAGCTGCTGCCAAGGGTATGACAGGCAGAAACAGTATTTACAGTTTACGTCCATGATCTTCAGAGGAACAAACCTCAGACACTGAGGAGAACAAAAGAAACTGCTATTCTTTCCATAAGAATTCCTGAAGAGAATGAGGCCATAAGATGGAAATGAGTTCTCAGTGACAATGTGCCTGAGTGGGAGCTGGGGTCCCTCAGGGGACACACACACACACACACACACACACACACACACACATACACACACACACACCTGTTCTCACCCTCCATGGTGGGATGTGCTTGAGGGGCTCTGATGCCTTGGAAAGCAGTGCACCCCCAGCCTATCCTGCATGGTGCCTGGAGAAGACAGAGAACAGGATCCAGAAAGTCTCCGCTTGAGCAGGAAGAAGTCTGTCCTCACTGGGCCATGAGGCACAGAGCAAGCACTAAGAAAATGAGTTGAAGTGGAGCTCTGGTGGCCTAGTGGCAAGGAGCTGCAACTATAATCCCAGAGGCGAACGGTTTGAATCCACCAGATGCTCTGCCGGGGAAGGAGGGACAATCTCCTCCTGTAACAGTCAGATCTGATTTGACGGTACACGCACACAAAAATAATAAAACAAAAATTAAAAAAAAAAAAGAAAGAAAGAAAATGAGTTGAAAATCATTCATTTTACTAAAAATTTTCAGATGCCTTCCCTTTTACAAAAACAGCATTCATTCAGGTCTCTTGCCCTTAACCCCTAAAAAAGCAAGAGGAGGTGATCAGGGAGAAATTTTAAAAGTGCCTGCTGAATGCTAGGCACCCAAGTTCCAGTCCTGTACACAGAATGCGACAGGACCCACTCTTTGGTCCTTCAGTACAAGGCCTTTCTTAACCAGTCAGGGCCTTCAGAGTACTTCCAGGGGAGGGCTACAGGTCTCCAACATAGTCATCCCAGGACAAGGCCCCACCAGGTCCCCAGTGCAGCCAGCCCAGGGCAGGGTCCTGCCTGGGTATGTACTCAGGAGGGGGCCACAGGGTATCTGTAGTGGTTGCGGTCAGCCTCGCCTAGAGTCACTGTCAGTGACAGACTAGGCTTCCTCTCCAGCTCCTCCTCCTCTGGACAGGGCTGCGGGGGGCGGGCTTTAAAGAAGTCAGAGATGTAGTAGACCTGGGAGGAGAGAGAGGATGAGTTGAGTGGACAGAGGAAAGAGGAGGGGGAGCCCTAGAGAGATAGTAATGGGATGACAGACTCAGAGGGAGGAGGGAGAAGGGGGACCCAAAGAGAGAGTAAAGAGGTGGCAGGACCAGAGAGAGGTGGAGGATGGGAAGGAGCAGAGAGATTGACAAGGGTTAGGGACCCAGAGAGAGAAGGTAAATTCGAGACTCAGAGAGAGAGGAGAGAGGAGGAGGGATTAGGAGGGTTGCAGAGAGAGAGAGAAAGAGAAAGAGAGAGAGAAAGAGAGGAGGGGGATGAGAGTCAGAATGAGAGGAGCCTGGAGGGTCAGAGAAAGAGGAGGGGGATGGGAGGGTCAGAGAAAGGAAGGGGATGGGAGGATCAGAGAGAGGAGGGGGATGGGAGGGTGAGAGAGAGGAGGGGGATGGGAGGGTGAGAGAGAGGAGGGGAATGAGAGAGTCAGAAAGAGAGGAGGGGGATGGGAGAGTCAGAAGGAGAGAAGTGAGATGGGAAGACTCAGAGAGGAGTGAGATGGGGGACCCAGAGAGAGAGCAGTGTGCAAGGTGAGGGGAGTGAAGGAGACTGATGAGGGGAGGTAAGGTCAGAAGCATAGTCAGGTAAAAGGTGTGTGAAGCAGTTAGTTAGACTCAGGGAGGGGTAGGAGAGGGACCCATGGGGGTGAGTGGGAAGGTCCAGAGCCCAAGCAGTGTGAAGTAGGGGTAGGGAAAGGAGGAAGAGGGGGTCTGACTGGGGGGGAGTCCATGGGCAGGGCGGGGCTCAGGGGAGGGGAGTCCTTGTGCAGGGCAGAACTGGGGGAACACAGGGGTCCCTGGGCAGGGCGGGGCTCAGGGGAGGAAGGGTATGACTGTGCAGGGTGCAGCTCAGGGGAGGGGGTCCCTGTGCAGGGCAGAACTGGGGAACACAGGGGTCCCTGGGCAGGGCGGGGCTGGGGCAGCTCACCGTCAGGCCAGCCACCAGAGCGCCCTGCAGCAGCCCAGCCAGCACGTCACTCCAGTGGTGCTTGTGGTCAGACACGCGGGTGTAGCCAACATAGAGGGCAAAGGCCACCAGGAAGAACTGCACCGTGGGCCTCAGCAGCCGTGCCCACTTCCAGCAGAGCCGCGCCTGCACGTAGAGCTGGAGGCAGGGAGCAGTCAGCCTGGAACCCCCCTCACCACCTCCACTAACCCACTGAAGGTGGGAAAACCAACCCCAGGAAAGTGGCCCCTTCAGAAGCCTCCCGAGATGCGGACTCACCGCCAAGAACACCATGCAATACATGGCGAAGGAAGAATGTCCGGAGTAGAAAGACAGCCTGCGGACAGAGAGGGCAGCAGGGTGGGCAAGGCAAGCCTGGGCGATCCTGGCCAGAAGGCGCCCATCCTAGTGAGGGGATATTTCTCCTTCAACCCTTCCCACTCCCTGACACGGAGCAGGAAATCATACTAGAGCATCATCACCTTGTCACTAAGGGGAGGAGGGGGGCACACACAGTCACCTGTCCAGTCCCTCATCCTCACCCCCCAGCAGTTAACACTTCCTGTGGTGGTCACCTACTGTCCATCTGAGTCAAGTCACGTGGGTTTCACCCTTTCTTTTTCAATAAATACAGTTTAGTGAGTTTTTTTAAAAAAAGATGCCAAAGGATATCAGAGAAGGGAGCAAAGGCAAGACCCAGACAGGGGTGATGTTAGCCAGGCACGCCCCTCCATACTCATGTGGCATTTTCTGCATGTTCCTGGTACCCCCTGTACCCACTTGGCCTTGGTGTCACTGGCTGGGGGCTCCCCCTGCACCCACCTGGCCTCAGTGACATTGCCTGGGCTCCCTCGGCACACTTCCAGCTGCACATAAACGGAACAGTTGACGCGGCTCCAGTCCGGGTCACAGACAGCTAGGAAGTTGGGCCGCAAGCGGCCAATCATGTATTTGGCCAGGTCTGTGAGGGACTGGCTCACCGCTGCCCCAAACAGGAAGGTCCCCAGCACCTTGTACACGGCAGCCACGTAGTTGTTGAAGTGGGAGTGGGAGTAGAGGCGGTTGGTGTAGACCAGGTAGGCCTCCCCAGCCGACACCTGCAAAGGGGTGGGAATTGGTCAGGGGTTCCCCTCTGACAGGAGTTTAGGGTTCCTGACCTCTCTGAGGCTGCTGGAGAGCAGAGGGGCCCCAGGTACCCCAAGAGCAAGGCTATGCCTCCCCCAGGACAGGGTTGCTCCCCATCCCCCAGACTCTTTCTGCCTTACAAGGACTACGGTGGCTGTGATGGTGACACTGGCCATCAGCCCATTGGTGATGGTGTCTGGGCGGTATGGGTACCGAATGGAGTCATCTCCACAGTGGAAGCCTCGTTTGTAGGGCGTGTTCACCAGCGTCAGGACAGCAAACGGCAAAGAGGCTGGGAGGAAGCAGGTCAGGTGGAGGGATGAGGCTGAGTGGCCACCCCAGACCTGTCTCACCCCCACCCTGACACAGAAAGAAAGTTCTTCCAGGGGCACAATCACCTACAGGTCACTACATAAACAGCAGGCCTCACCATGACATGCAGCTTGGCCCCTGCCCCACACTTCCTACCTTCCCTCACTCCTCGCCATGCTTCCATGCCTCAATTCTGTGCCTGTCACCCTGCTAATCTCCTCTACACCCAACATGCCCACCTGGATGCTTGGATTCTGCCTGGTGCGGTGGACCACTAACTGAAAGGGTTAGGGTTGAAAGGCTAGGCAGTCTTTCCTGTGCAGATCTCTGCTGTTCTGGGTAAAAGAGACCTGCCGGCAACAGGGCATCCTACCTGCAGGCATCTAACTCAGAGGCCAAGGACCAGCTGCAATCCCCACCCACAGCCACATCCAGTAATACCCCTGTTCCACAGTGTCCCACCCTCCTGCTGGAACTAGCCCAGGGCCATCTACATCGAAGAGCTGGACAGTGAATAAAGATGACAGAAGAATCGGTGCCTTTGAGCTGTAGTATTGGAGAACAGTACTGAATATACCATGGGCAGCCAAGGGAACAGACGTGTCTTGGAAGAGGATACAGCTAGGGTGTTACTGGAGGCAAGGATGGTGAAGCTTAGTTTGACATAAGTTGTGGGTGTTGTCAGAAGGGGCTCGTCCTTGGAAAAGGACGTCATCCTTGGACAGGTAGAAGGTCAGTAACGGAGATGAAGACCTTTAGGCGAGGTAGTTGACAGTGACTGTGTGTCAGAGATTGTGAGGATGGCACAGGATGCGGGAGGATTCAGGTCTGTCGTGAATGGTAATAACAAGCACCCCACCTGTGTGGCTTCTCACTCAGGGGACACCCCAGCTACACAGCGCTCTCACCCCCTGTTGGAACCCTCTGACCAATTTCCTGTCCTGCCTGGGGCTGTCAGCATCGGCCCCTCAAAGGCTTTCGGAAGGCCTTGCCCACCCACCAGCCCCGCACCCAGCAAGCATCATGTAAAGTTTCCATAAACATAAAGGCACATTGATGCTGCTGTCACTGTCCCCGGCCCACCTCACAAGGGTGCTGCAGACCTGAGGCAGGTTGATCCTCCCTTCTCCTCCGCCCTAGGAATCCCGGAAATGGGAGGCAGCTAATTAGTCCCCAGGGCCACTCCCCCCCCTCATGGGCTAGAATCCCAGGCCATTGCCCTGACCAGGCTAGTGCCCTGATTGCTGGTGGCCTTTGTTCTCAACCAGGAGGAGGGGCAGACAGGGGGACTTGGCTGCCCCCTCCCCCGACCTGACCCACAAACCTGCCAGACAGGTTTGGGCTGAGAAGCTCCAGGTCCTCACCCACAGCTCCTGACCTGCCTCTCACCCCAAACTCTTCAAGCCCCCAGGCCTGAGGGGAGATAGCTGAGCACCTGAGCACCGCTTGCTGAAATGGGAGCACCACTGGCCCGTGGTGTTCCCAGGCAGGGTTCCCTCTAGGAGCCCTGTGCCCATGCTGAGCTCGGAATGTCAAGATACTCATGGCAGGGACCTCTGGCCTCCCCCCGCAGGAATCACCAGAGCCAGTGGGGTGGGGGAGATGGCAGTCGGCTTCTGCGGGGACTTCCTGCTGCAGGCTAGGCGGACTGACCGGGTACGACCCTCTGGGTACCTAGGACGCGTGGGAACAGAGGCCCAGCAGGGCACAGGCGAGGAGTAGGGCGCAGCGGGGGTGTGGGCAGCTGCCCCGCGCACAAACCCTGAGCGGGCTGACCTGGGAGTGGGTCCCCACCAGTCCCCGACTCTTACCGACCAGGACGCACAGCACGTCGAGCAGCACGAAGACCCACCTCCGCTCCATGCCGCCCGGGCCGCGCCCCCCACCCGCTGCGTGACGGCCCTTGGCGCCCCGCTCGCCTGGGATCACATGGCCTCCCGCGCCGGGTTTGGCCAGCAGCCCTAGGAGGGGACAGGAGGGAGCACGGCAGGAGCGGCAGCGGGCGGGGCGACCTGCGGGGAGGGAGAGGCGGACTCTGCCTGGCCAGGCCTGCTGTGCGCAGGAAGGCCCCGGGGCGTGGGGCGGGCTTGGGTGTCTTAACTAACCCGGGCGTCACTGCTCTGTACCCCTGTGCGGCTTGGGAGCGAAGCTCAGAGCTCCAGGGTCCACCGTGCGCCCAGGTTTGGGCGGGAGGGTGAAGAGGAGAGGAGGGCAAACCTGCAGGGCGAGGTGCAGCCGGGCTCAGGCAGCACCTGTCCCCTTGCCCTCTCTGAACCCCGACTTCCTCCTGGGATGTGAGGGTGGTGCTCCACGCTACACACCTGAAATCCGGAAGTGCCTGAAAACAGCCTCAGAACCTGGGCCCTGCGACCGCTGCTTTAATGAAAAGCTGGGCCTGTACCCGGGGTGAGGACCATTTACAGAAGCCCAAGGACCGAAGGCCACTCCCGCAGGCGCCAAGAGACCGGCAGTGCCCGCTGCTGTGCCACTGGGGGAGCCGAGGGCACCCAGGCTGGAGGCCCGGCAGAAGATGCCCTGACGCCCAGGAGCCCTGCCCTAAGACACATTTCAGCGGTCAGTCTCAAGGTCACTGTATAGAAGGCCCCTCCCAGTAATCCTAAAGCCGGTGTTCCTCTGCGCTCAAGGACACTTGCTTCGAGAGGCTTGAGAGAGGCTTACGGGGAAGCCACAGAGGCTGTGGACGACCCTGTCTCCGCGCGGCAAAAGCAAGAGACAGGATGTCACTGGGTGGATGCCTCCGTGTCCCCAACAACATCACCCACAAAGGTGCTCGCAGTTATGACAAGAAATGGCAAGGCCCTGACTGATTCTGGGCTCGCGCCTGCGGTATAAAAAACAAGGAGCGTGGGGAGCGCATCCGAATTCCCCCCTTTTCCAATCACACAGCCCAAGATCTTAGGGCAGCTCGCCCCAGACCTGAAAGGACCAGTTAGTTACCAGAAACTCAGTTTCTGGTAAAGTACAGTTAACCCCACCCCACCCGCTTGAGTGGTTTTTTTAACAAAAAAAACCCCACCTGTGGTAAATCCCACCCTGATTGATCAACTGCCATAAAGTGGAATTCTTCTCTGTAAGAGCACAAGGAGTTTTCCGCATTCCTGTATCTGAAGTAACCGATAAGATTCAAATAGGTTTCCAAACTGTTACCCTGAGCTATGGCTAGCCAACTGAAGGTGGACAAATACCCCAACTACTGTGGGTGGCCAATCATGCATGGCGTGTATGGTTGGGCAGGGGAGTAGCAGAGGTATAAAAGGAGGGGCAGACATCAATTCGGGGCTCTCGGCCGGATGCTGCTGTGTCAGCACACGGGAGCCCGGGTTCGAACTCGAAATAAACTTCGTTAATTCGGCTAATTGGCTCAGTGATCTTTTTGGGGACTCGCTCCGTTACAAGATCCCCACGGACGCACTTTAGAATCTACTTTTTTTTCCTCCCAAGTTTTTCTCCTCTTTGCCCCAAAGAGCCAAGTCTCAGGTTCTACAAGACTAATCCACCTCCCCACCCACTCGCAGGTGGGCAAATTCTGCCCATTGGTTCCTGCCTTTGCCACTCACAGGGCAAGGGCGTGGTGTCAGTGCACTCATTCCTTCCCACCCCTTTCCAGGTGAGGACACCTGCAGGGATTGGGAAGACTCCTGTGGCCTGGTGGTTACACTCTAGGCGGGAACCTACAGGTCAAGACGATCCCGGAAGGAGGATGTAGCTGGCTGCTTCCATATTTAGCCCCATGGGCCAGTTCTCTACCCTGTGAGCTGAACACAGGTTGGTCTGGGGTTAGGTGCTTACATACTCACTTCGTTATCACTGTTATCGAATCCCTCCCACCCTCACGGTGACAAAGTGCAACCCTGTCATGGGGTGTGGAGATCCTGACTGGCAGCTACAGGCAGGTCCTGGCAGCTTATGATGAGTCGTGCTGCCAACACAAAGACAAGTGATTCGAACCCACCAGTTAACTCTGCAGGATGGACAATCTCCTCCTGTGAGATTTCCTGCTTCTAAAAGGCAACTGGAGGTTTAGCTACGACTCCTGGGATACAACTACATGTGGGCAGGGCTGTGAGGGGATGAGAATTTAAAGAGGAGCGGTTCTCCCCACCCCAACCCGTTCCAGGGCACCGGATGAGGCCAGAGAGAGTTTAAATAGCAAAACAGCAATGTCTTGCCCCACCCACGGGTCAAGGATTAGGGTTAGCACACAAACCCAGGCAGCATAGGATTAATAACCTGAGCCTGTGAGGCATTGAGGATTAGGGTTAGGAGCCGGTTAGAAAGGAGTCAGAGGGCTGCTGGGGAATGGGAAGGGGGTGCACACGATGTGTGAGGTCCATCAGGCCATGCTGAGGTGGAGCCCAGACCGCTGGGGGCCTGCAGGGAGTCCTGAAGGCCAATCCCAGACCCAGGATGAACCTCTCCTCTCACCTGCACCTTTGGGATGGTCTGGACATCCAATCCAGAATGACCCCATTCCCCCTCCCCTGTCCCATTGTCATGCAAGGCCAGGAGTGCCAGATGAGAGTGAACCTCGGGCCCATTGCACAAACCACACACTCCCACTCAGGCACCAACACACTGGGGTCAAACCACACAGTAAGTGGACAGCAAGCAGTAGGCAGGCAGGGCTAGCTCCAGAACAGGTACCCTCAACACTGGGAGGAATGTGCCTGCAGGCACTTCCTCCCTTTCCAACCCAACCCATGACAATCCCCATTTCTGAATGCCACTAAGACAGGACATCCTGAAGCCCCCTCACTCCAGCACTAGAGGGCAACGCCCCAAAGTGAACTTGTGAGGATGAGACTAGAATGGCTGTACTGGCTGCGACTGACCAGACATGGACAGCAGTGACTCTGAGTGTGGACCCCGAGGATGGCCACACCTGTGATGGGCTGTAAATGGACTCAGGTGGCCCTCTAGCGGCTGCAAACCACATGGCAGGACAGTGCCCCCTTTTCTCCCATGGAGCCATGTGCCTTCAAGTTGGAGGTGCAACTAACTCCTGAACAATATTAAACCTGAACTTCAGGAAAATCAAAACAGAAAGATCACGGGTCCAAGCACCTCAACAAGCCCTAATGGGATGATGGATGACCAATTAATTCCAAGTCCGTCCTGCGAGGAGTGGTCTTTAAAGTGGAAGGTGAGCAAGCTCAGGTCAGGGTGTCCCCACAGTGAGCAACAGCTTTGAGACTTGCTCCACCCAATGTCTCGTGGGGCTGGAGGGAGACCCTGGCCCCACACACCTCATAGGCCAGGTCAATCTCCCCCATTCCCTGCTGACCCTTCTGCCCTGTTCCTGAGTTGTTTGTTCCAGGACCCCAGACACCCTGCCTGACCTCACTGGACACTTTGATCAGGCTTCCCTGCCTGCACCTAGGGGTGCTCTCTGCACAGCACCCCATTCCTCCCCACATGCCTTTGTCAACAGCCTGAACCAGAGATCCCGTTGTCCCCGCCCATAGGTCCACACGAGGCACTGCTGGACTTCAAATCAAGTTTAATAAATAAAAGTGGGAGTCAAGGCAGTCGTCACTTCACAGTGTGGCCCTGGGGGGTCTAGTCCGATGACCTCGAACAGAAACCCCTGACGACCCTGGAGGCTGGGCGGCCACCTGCAACACCCCACAATGTGTGAACAGAAACATAAATAGAATCAGGGGCAGAAAGGGAGAACGAAGACCCCAGCTTCTTATGGGGATGTCCAACAGAAAGCAGACCCAGGGGCTAGCTGGCCCCTCAGGGTGGCAGGGCTGAGGCAGAGGGAAGGAGGTGAAGCCCCACAGCCTCTGATGAGCCTGCTGAGGGACCCCAAGGCAGGGCTGAGGGGAGGGGTAAAGTGCGGCTTTTCCTGAAGTGGAGACCAGGCGGGAGGGGCCGGCCAACGAGGTCTATGGCTCCATGCCCCACGGTTTGGCACTGAGCAGCAGCTGCCCACTGATTCCCACGGCCCCCGTGGCCGTGCAGCAGACAGCTGGCCAAGGTGCCCGTGAGGCTGCTGGTGGCTGCACTGTCCCCCCTGGGCAGACTGGTCCTCTGCTGACGGAGGCCCCGGCAGAGTCTGAGGAGGCGACCAGGAGTGGGGACAACACCAGGCAGCCGGGGTCCAGGCTGTGGCCGCAGCCCTCTGCCCTCACCATCCCCGACTTGCCCTGAAGCAGAGGTCAGAGGAGGAATCAGGAAGATGGACAGCAGCAGGCCAGGTGGCCAGGTCCAGTCCAGAGGTTCTAGGCGAAAAGAGCCACTTGGCATCGGTGATCAACAGGTCATCACGTTACAGCTGCAGAGAGACCAGAGTGAGGAGTCCACGGAGGACAGGGTCCATGGGGGATAGAAGGTGAGGGTCCACGGAGAACAGAGGGTCCATGGAAGACAGAAGGTCCACAGGGGATAGGGGGCGAGGGTCCATGGAGGAAAGAGGGTCCATGAGGGGCGAGGGTCCACGGGGGGGCAGAGGGTGAGGGTCCATGGAGGACAGAGGGTCCATGGGAGACAGAAGGTCCACGGGAGACGGGGGTGAGGGTCCACGGGAGACAAGGCGTGAGGGTCCAAGGGGGGGGGCAGGAATTAAGGTCCATGGGGGGTGGTAAGACATGGAGGTGGGAGCATGGGGCTTAGGGACACGGGAGGCACTCACTGTGACAGGGGCTCCGTGTGCAGTCCAGGTGCTGGGCACGCTGGGCGGGTGGCCAGAAAGGGGTTCACATCCCCGATGCCAATGAGTCCGAACTCAGCAACTGACAAGGCCATCCGCGCAGGGTCCTCATCCAAAGCCACGTGGCTCGAGAGAAGGGGCAGCCCCTCTGGGAGCGCCCCAGGCAGGGCCAAGTCCACAGCCAGTCTTGGGTGGGTGCTGGGCTCTGGGGAAGCTGAGGCCGGGGGGTAGAAGGCTGGGTCAGCCAGGGGCCGGGGCTGCCGGGGCAGGAAGGGACAGGACCCAGGCTCTGAGATCTGGATGCCATCTGTGCCTGGCTCCTCAAGGCCAACGAGACCTCGGGGGGCACCATCACTCAGGGGCTCTGCAGGAAGACAAGCAGGTGAGGGCTAGGCCAGAGCCCTGAGGCTAGCGCACAGCTAGGGATGACACACAGCGAGGTGGGGAGAAGAAATGTTACAAAGCCAGTGCAGGTGACACAACCCAGGACAGACAGCTGGAGGACACACAACAGGTAGGGGAGCAGTACAGCAGAGTGAGAGTACATGCAGGGGGAGAAGAGTACAGCAAAGTGGGGTACACGTGGGGGGCGGGGAAGAGCTGAATAGAGGGACATAGTGGGACCAGGAGGGACATGGCTACAGGGGAACATGGGTGGGGGAGGGATAGAGCTTAGTGGGGGACACATGGTTGGGGGCATACAGCTAAGTTGGGGGCTATACAGTAGGGACACAAACAATGGGACAGAGACACAGCTGAGTGGGGAGACACACATGGGACAAGGGACACAGCTGAGTTGGTGAGGGCAGAGCTGAGTGGGGAGACACACATGGGACAGGGACACAGCTGAGTGGGGAGACACACATGGGACAGGGACACAGCTGAGTGGGGAGGGCACAGCTGAGTGGGGTGGGCGTGCTCACCTGCACACAGTTCTCGCAGGGCACCCTGCTCAGGGACCAGGCCACTGGTAGTGGATGGCAGGGGTGGTGAGGAGTGGGGGCGACTGGAGCCATCGGGGTCACCCCCATCCAAGTCCTGGTCCATGTCCCTGTTGAGAAGAGGTGCCGTGAGAGGCAGCCACGAGGGGCTGAAGTGTGGGTCAGTGTCTAGGAAGCAACGGGTACAGGGGAGGAGGAGGAGGGCTCGTTCAAGGGTGCAGGGATATGCAAAATCTAGAGAAGAGTTCGGGGTGATGTGGTTTGAGGGGGGCCATGCGGGGCTAGGGGGCCGGAACTATGCAACAGGGGGAGTGGGTAGGGGCAGTGAGTGTGGGCAGGAGGTGGGCAACTGGTAGCAGACAGTGGGTAGGGGCAGTGGATGGGGAGCAGTGAATAAGTGAGCAGGTGGAGGAATGGATGGGGGCAGTGGGTAGGTGAGCAGGTGGGGGGACAGTCTTGGTTAGTGGCAATGGGTGGGTAGGAAGCAGTGGGTGGGCTGTCTGGGTGAGTGGTGAGGGCTGGGAGGGAGCAGTGGGTGAGTGGTGGGCAGTGGGTGGGTGGCAGGCAGTCTGGCTAAGTAATGGGGGTGGATAGGGGGCAGTCTGGGTGAGTGGTGAGGGGTGGGAGGACAGTGGGTGGGTGGCAGGTGGGGGACAGTGGGTGGACGGCAGGCGGGGGGGCAGAGGTGAACAGGGGGCAGACCAGGCTACACTCACGTGTTTCCAGATGGGACGCACTTCCTCCGGCCCAGACGGGTCTGCTGGGTGAAGTAGTCGAAGCGCTCGGACTTCTTCCACAGGTAGTAGTACTCCACACATTCACCCACTGACCGCGTGCGCACCTACAGACAGAAGCCACTGTCACTTAGCCAGACCCCACACTCTGCCTCACTCCTTGCTATATGGGCTGGAACCACAATGAGCCCAAGCCACATGCCTTCTGCCCCTCCACTGTCCCCCGTGTCCTGGCTGAGAACCCCCCTTCCCCCCCAGCCCCTCCCATCCCCCACATAAGCTGTCCTGGCGTGAATAGCCACTCATCCAAGCCACTGTCCTGGCTGGAACCCCATCTTGGCTCCCCTACTAGACCTTCTCACCTCCCCTCAACAATCCTGGCTAGGAACCTCTCTCATCCCCTTTCTACTGTCCTGGTAGGAATCCCCGCGACCTCTACCCTCACCCCTCAGCTGTGCCCACTGTCCTGGCGGGGGACTCCTTCTCAGCATGCCTGCCTCACCTTGTTGGCCTGAATCAGGTGGAAATTCTTTCCATGCACACGGAAGCCATGCTCGAAGTTCCTGCACTCCTCCTCACTCCAGGCACAGAACCCGTCTGCAATGAAGCAGTCAGCACAGGTGGTCAGCAAGGGGCAGTCAGCATGGAGGGGTCCGCATGAGGCAGTCAAGATGGAAAGGTCAATACACAGGGCAGTCAGCATGGAGGGATCAGCACAGGGCGGTCAGCGCAGGGCAGTCAACATGGAGGGATCAGCAAAGGATAGTCAGCATGGAGAGGTCAGTGCAGGGGGTCAGCACAGAAGGGTCAACCCAGGGCAGGTTGGGGAGGCCAGTGTGTGAAATCTCAGGGAACATGGCATGGGGCAGGGCGAGGGCTGGGTCGGGTGGGGTCAGGCGGCGCCCACCTCGGACCACCTTGACGTTGAAGCGCAGTCTCCGCAGAGCCTCCTCGGCGTTGAAGCTGCAGCGCACCAGCTCATACAGCGCCTGGGGGGACAGTCACTGCTGTGCGCCTACCAGCCCACCCCACCCCAGCAAGGACGCGGGGCTCAGAGGGCCCACACCAAATGGGCTCTGTGCCAGGTGGCCACCCAGCCCATGTCTCCCACCTGCTCGCTGTCCTTCACTGTCTCTCCGTCCGGCAGCTGGGGTCCAGCCGCCTCGTCCCACCTCCGTGTGACGGCTCGGTACAGAAACTCCTCCACTTCCCTCTCAGGCAGAATGTGGGGGTCCCAGAGCAGCTGGTCCTCATTCTCACAGACTGTGAGGAGAGACGTGAGAAAGGTTACACTGTGGCCAGCCACATGCTCCCTCCTGCTGACCACAAAGCCTGCTGGTGCAGGACAGGCATTTTACACACTTCCAGCTCCAGCCCTAGCCAGCAGCTGGCCTACAGCTCACCACATCCTCCCTGGTCCCACCATGTCCTCCTCGGGCCCCACCACACCCACCTCAGCCCCACCACATCCACCCTGTGCCCCACCATGTCCACCCACCTGTACTCCACTGCATCCTCCAACGCTCAACACAGAATGTGAGCTGAAGGACAGGTCCATGGAAGGGACCTGGGACGCATGGTGTTAGGAGGGTGACTGACTTGCTATGTGACATCGCCACAAATCTGTCACCTCCAGGAAGCACCACCCAGAGCAGGATGCAAGGTGGCCTCTTTCTGTGCAGATAGCAGCACCTGGCCAGCTGGTCCTGAGTCCAGCCTCAGGCACATAACACCCAGAAAGCAGGCTAGCTGGGGAGTTCTGCTTGTGTGCCTCTTGGGACATGGCCAACAATGTGGCCCCATGGACAGGGCAGGACAGGCACTGGCAGGGCCACCCCCAAACTCCATAGCCACCACCCAGGCACGTCAACCAATCAGCGCAGAAGTGGGCGATATCTGGACTTGGGGAGATGAGAGACAGCCCACAAACTAGGCCCTGACAGTCACATGAAGGAGAAGCTAACGGCAGACAGCAAGGAGATAAGGACTGGGACCTACACAAGACAGGAAGCAGCATTCCCACTTGAGAGCTGCCAGGGAAGTTCAAGAACAAGCCAGACAGGAAACAACGGGGTCAGGAGAGTGAAAGTTTGGGAGAAACGGAGACAAGCAAGGGTCCAGAGCCCATGGGAGGGTGATTCATCCCAGAAGCAGATAAAGAAACAAAAACAAAGGTGGCTGGGCACTTCGCCCAGGAAAACACAAAAACTACACTATACAGATCCAGCAAGACAACCAGACAAAAATGCACTCACAGCATCTCTGAGAAGAGACGCTGCACAGAGACAGACAGATGGACACCTGAGCCCTCCACAAAGGACAGACAGCAGAGACGTGGTACGTTCAAAAGTTCATGGCTACAAGAACAAGCTGCAGGAATGAAGGTGAGATGGACATTCTGGGCAGCACACTGGCAAGGACACTGCCCTGTGGTGGCCAGGGATCCAGACCACTTACTCTTCTCGCTATGTCGGCTCGCATGCAGGCTGCTGAGGTCAGCTTGGAACTGAGGCCCCACCATGATCTCCTGTGGACATAAAGCCGAGGGCCAGAATGGAGGTCATGCCAGCAGGTGCATTGTGACCAGTCACTTCAGGTGGGCAGTCTGGCCAAAGGACACCCAACCCAGGACAGCCCCGGGCAGATCTCAAAGCTGCCCTGCATCCCATGGAGAAGCCACAACAGTGGTGGGAGCTCAGCGTTCAGCTCTCAGGACCAAGGGCTGGAGATCCCCTGGCCACGCACCTTCTTACATTTGTTGGCGGGAAGAGAGTCCTCCTCGGTGTCGGAGGCCGAAGAGCCAGGTTCTTTGTCTCCACCAGCCAGGAATCGGGCTTTAGGGAGAGGGGAGGTCAGGAAGGGATGGCACAAAGAAGGCTGAGGCAAGGCCCCCCAAATGCCTGTAGTGGATGCCTGGGCCCTCATCACACAGATCTTCCCTTCTCAGGGTCACAATCCCTCCTAACGCCACTGGGGACTCACATCCCAACCCCACTCAATCTACCTGATCACACTCTGACAGGGGCCCTTCCCAAGTTCCAGAACTTTCTAACTGAAAAACTGTGTATACATAAGCTTGGGATCTCTCCTCTGACACAGACTTCCATCACACTGCCTTGGAGAGGACACAGCCCCCTCCTTTGAGAGCCAAAATCTCCCTCCTCAGGGAGACCCAGGGCCCCCTCTCCTCTGAGGCCCATGGTCCCCTTTCCTCTGAGACCCAGGGCCCCCTCTCCTCTGGGAGATACACAGCCCCCTCTCCTCTGAGATCCATGGTCCCTTCTCCTCTGGGAGACTCACAGTTCCCTCTACTTAGGGAGACACATAGTCCTCTTTCCTCTGAAACCCAGGCCCCCTTCTCCTCTGAGACCCACAGTCCCCTCTCCTCTGAGGCCCACCATCCTCTTTCCTCCGGGAGATCCAGGGTCCCTTCTCTTCTGGGAGAGCAGAGTCAGTGAGTAGAGGGCACTGAGAGGGCCACAGAGTTCCTCTCCCTTTTGAGGATCCTACAGCCCTACCCCTGCCCTACAAGAAGCCCTTCTCCTTCTGGAAGTTCTACAACCAGGGTCAAGTGGGAACTTTCTCCTCAGTGGCTAGGTGTCCCACCCCTCAGGCTGAGGTCACCCAGGCGGCGGACAAGGACATGGACACGCACTCTGGCTGGGGAACAAAGCTGTGGCTGTATGGGAGGTCACGGATGGCATGAGGTCATCTGCAGATGACTGAGTCTCCTCTTCTCCAGAAAGCAAATCTTTAGCTATCTGCTCCTTTTAATGAAAAAAAAAAAAAAGTTAGAATACGTTAAAGTCTGAAAACAGCACAAACAAGGATGACAAACAATGCTCTCAAGACATGCCTGGGGGACCTGTCAGAAGGAGGCGCTCTGTGGCCCCCTCAGGGCCCCCATGCAGGGTGGAAGGTTGGAAGTGATGGGGTAGAGACTAGGGTAGAGTAGAAGGTGGAGTCAGGAGAAGAAACGAGGGGAATGGCAGGACTTAATCTGTGAACTAGATTCACTGAGGGGAGAGCTAGGGCGAGCCTGGGAACTGGAAATCAGGTTGGGCTCAGGGTGGGGTGGGCTGGTGGGTAGGCCCAGGGCGGGGTCTGTTAGAGGGTGGGCCAAGGTGGGTGGGGCCTGCTGCAGGGTGGGCCCAGGCCCGGACCTGCTGGGGAGTAAGTGGGGACAGCTGGAAGGTGGGTGCTGGAGGGTGAGGCCTGCTGGAGGGCAGGTCCAGGGCAGGATCCTCTGGGGGGTGACCACCAAAGAAACACCATGCAGGATGAACTCCCACTGTGGTGGCTTTCCAGCAGCCCAGCCCCACCTGCTGGCTGTCTCTTATCCAAGATCCCCCTCACCTTGTCTAGGGTCATGTCCAGGAGTGGGGGTGCACTGTCGGTCCCCTCACTCTCCTGTTCTGAGATGGGGTCTGAGGCCTCATAGCCATAGAGGGCCAGTAGCTCATCAAGAGGCATGTCGTTGCTCTGGGGAGGGGAGGCAAGGGCTCCGTCAAGTATTGTTTGGGGTTATATGCACCCCTTCTTTCTGTCCAAACCCATACTGTCATAGCCCACAATGATGCCATGTGGCAGCCTCACCTCCAACCAGCCTCCAGCCCAGACTCTCGTCACAAACCCCAACAGGAGACACTGGTGGTCCCCTCAGCCAATACCCGTCAGTGAGCAAGGGGCCTAGACAGGCCACCCACACAGCCTGCTTCAGAAACGGGCCGGCTCAGCCTGTGAGTGCTGACTCCAGGAATGCGAGGTGGCTCAGTAACCAAGACATGGCTAGTCCCACTCAGTCCAGAAGGGATCACCGGGCAAAACCACCATCTAGCTAAACAGGAAAGGAGTTGAATGAGATGACTGTGAGTGAGATGGTGATGATGCTGTCGAGTTGAATACAACTCACAGTGACCCTGTGAACAACGGATCTGAACCCTGTCCTACCCTGCACCACTCTCAGCATCTCTGGCTTGAGCCCACTGCTGCAGTCACCTTGTCAACGTCCAGTCAAAGGTCTTCCTCTCTTTTGTCGACCCTTTCCAAACATGATGTCTCTTTCCAAGGAACAGTCTCTCCTAGCAGGATGCTCAAACAATAAAGAATGAGAGATGAAGCGTTGTCATTTTTGTCTCCACGAAGCACTCTGGATGCACTTTCTCCAAGACTTGTCTGTTCTTTGCAATCCTTGGAATATTCAATGGTCTTTTTTACCACTACAGCTCGAAGGCAGCCTTTTACACTGTCCAGCTCTCAGATGAATAACAAGTGAATGGAAAAACCATCGCTGAATCAGGCACACCTTAAGTCTTCAAACTGACATCATTGCTCCTCAGTAATCTGGAAAGACTCCTGACTGCAGACTTTTCCAAAGCAATGCATCTCTTGATTTCTTCACAAAAGGTGTTGAATATGGACCCAAGTAAAATGAAATTAGACAATTTCAATCTTTTCTCTATCAATATACTGCCTACTGGCCCAATGTTGAGGATGTTTGTCTTCTTGATGTTGAGATGTCATCTACATTGAAAGCTGTAGACTTTCATCCTCTGCAGCAAGCACTACAAGTCCTCCTCACTTTCAGCAAGCAAGATTGTGTCATCTGCATAAGACAGGCTATTTATGAATGAGTCTTCCTCCTATCCTGATGCCAGATTTTTCTTCACCGAATCCAGCTTCATCAATGATCTGCTCAGCACACAGACTGAACAGGTATAGAGAAAGGACACACACCTTAATTCTGACCATGCAGTGAGTGAGGAAGAGGCTGTGAATGACACATCGTGGCAGCATAGACACACGAGACCACTCCTCATTAGAAATGATGAAAGAAAAATCTCCGGGGAGCTCTGGTGGCCTAGTGGCAAGGAGCTGCAACTACAATCCCAGAGGTGCACGGTTAGAATCCACCAGATGCTCTGCCGGGGAAGGAGGGACAATCTCCTTCTGTACCAGTCAGATCTGACTTGACGGTACACACACACACACACACCATAAAAAAAAAAGAAATGATGAAAGAGCCCCAAGACCTTCGCTGCTCCCAGGACCAAGGCCCCTGGCCATCACAACCTAGGGCCATGGTCCAACACCCACCTCCTGGACATTCTCTTGTATGCTAAGGAGATGAGCAGTATCTCCTCTCAGTCCCAAATCCTCCCTCACCCTGGGGGCTCCAGTCCACAGACAATCACCCCAGCTCAGGGCTTACTCCTCACTGCAATTAAGCCACCCTCCATTCTCTCAAAGACTCCACAATCCCCCCACAGCTGCTGGCTACATCTCTCCTCCAGCTCAGTTACACTTATGCACTCCAGCTGCTGAGCCCTGAGTGTGAAAGCAGCACAGGACACCAGCATGGACCAGGGTGAGCCCCACACCACCACCCACTCAGCTAAGGAACACCACCTTCACTCAAGAATATCCTACCTCGGATCACTAAGGACAGTCCACACCACAGAAGACATCTGCTATGTGAACCATTCATAACCAAAAGGGTAGTTATTGGTCCAACAGTGCACATCTGAGGGAGGGGGACACAGGGCTAACAGTGCATACCCGAGGGAGGGGGACACGGAGCTAACAATGCACACCTGATGAAGGAGAATACGGAGCTAACAGTGCACACCTGAGGAAGGAGGACACGAGGCTAACAGCGCACACCTGGGGAAGGGGGACACGGGGCTAACAGCGCACACCTGGGGAAGGGGGACACGGGGCTAACAGCGCACACCTGGGGAAGGGGGAAATACGAGGCTAACAGTGCACACCTGGGGAAGGGGGAAACACGGGGCTAACAGCGCACA